ATATAGTAAGAAACAGTCTACTCAAGATCGTGTTCCTGTTTATCAAGCAAAACTCATCAGTCTTGTTTGTCATCGATAATCATTTTATTTCATTATTCTATGATTCGTTCTTTTAATGACCCTGTGTATATAGTGTCATCCGTTCAGGGGTTAATTTCGTAGGGATGATTCTTTAGATCATGTCCGAATGATGAGCCAGCAAGTGCTCTTTGAGCCTGTCGCGTCTGTAGAACTTCCTCGAGCAAAACTGGCACTTGTTTCTCGCCTCCTTGTTGCCGCACTGTAGCAAATGTCGTCGTAAACTGTACATCCAGGTGTATGTCCTGCCGCAGAGGGTGCAGCCGAATAGCTGCTTCTTGTACGGGTCGTTTTCTGCGCCGGGATAATAAAAAGGATCATTGAAGCTGGCATCCTTCAGCAATGCGTCGTCCATTGGCGCGTTGCAATTGTTGATCGTGCTCCACGCGTTCTTCGGCAGTAGACCTGTCGAACGAACACTCTGGTGAATGAACGGAAGCAGATTTCAATGGGAAATACCCGAGGACAATTGTCAATTCGGAAATGAACAACGATCAGACGGTTTATCGACTATTTAACCGGTTGGACTTGAATTCTGTCGATCAGGATTGTCAGTGCGAGTGGCAAGTGTCGGTAGGGAGAGAATACTCGGACGGATGTAATTAATATAATAATGGTCGGCGTCAGTTTTATTAAGTTACGTTGATTGGTTCAAAGTCATTTATTTCACAGAGAACACAATCATCGGGAGATTCCTGGTACACGTTTCGCTCTATGGAAAAGGAAGTCTCGTATTTTGTAGAAAAGTATACAAACAATTGGTTGCAAATGCTTCTTAAAAAGTAAAACAATTTTTTTAGTACAATACTCTTCCACGGCGTGGACTACTGTATTCGGACTAAATTAGCAAAGATCTTTTGGGTTTGGAAGATATGAGAACCTTTAGAACTGTACCGTTCAGTGAATTGAAGAGTTTTGAGGTTATCTGCCACTTTGTCTTCGCTAGTTCCGCCATTTTGTCGCTATGAAATGTTGCGCGAAGGTCGCGTACGACTTTCAGCACGAACAGTACAGTTTTGAAGTGCATAGACTTGAAAATGGCATGAATCTTAAATTATACAAGGTGCTTTAGGAAGTAAAGAGGATTAGTCAAGCACTTTTTATTTAAAAATTCTGCAGATTATTATTCCTTCTCAAAATAAAAAAATAATCGAGCAGTTTACATTATCGAAATATATTATCAATGCCTGCCTGAATAAAAACAAAAGTCAACATATAAAAAGAAAAGAAGGTTCCAGATAAAATTAAAAATATTCTCGCATAAAAACAAAAACTATCTACTTCCGAAACACCTTGTACAACCAACGAGCTTCACACTTCATTTAATTCAATATTCATAGGGTTCGAATCCGCAAACGAATATTTCACGAAATGCACTATTTATTCGAAGTCCATCTCTTCTCTTATACTACGCGAAGACGTATTCAAGAGAAGCATCTCCTAAAAATCGCTCCGAGTAGACATGCAGCCTCAAGTCAACTTTTCAACAGTCTATTTTTCAGTCCACTCTCACTTCCAATATGTCTGTCCCCTATAGTGAAGCTCATACAAATCCACTCACAGGTGGATACACAGCTCAAGAGCAACGCTTTGATAGTCTACTCTCAAATAGTCCACTATTGCTTCCAACATCACTATCCTCCAGCATGAATCTTAAACCCCCTGCACACCTTGAAATATATTACAATACAATCTACGACCAATGAGTTTGATTCTCTCTCACATCTCGTACCAAATTCACGTGATACAAAAAATGAAGAAGACTCAAACCCATTGCTTGTAATAAATGCATGCATCGCAACACGCCTCAACGTGTCCAGGAAGCTTAAGAACAACTCACTGCTCCACAGCTGCTGCACCCAGTTTCCATCTTTATTCCCAAAAGGAAATGCCAACTTATGATCTTGACTAGGCACAAACCCCAAAGATCCACTCCCGATGGTGTCACGCACGTGGGCAGGCAGCTTTAGTCGGAACAGCTTCGACAAACAATGAAAGGAAGAGGATCCGCGGATGCTTTTTGACGTTACTCTCGTTCGTCGCCGTGTACGGGCGAGTCCCGGCACTTCTGCATGATGTGCCGCAGCTTCTTCTGGCAGCCAACGATGTGCGAGTTCAAAACGAACCTGTGCTTGAACCTCCGGTCGCAAATGGGGCACACCTCACAAGGGACGACGCCGCACTCGAGCCGCTTGTGCCGGCTCAACGAGGTGGTCGCTTTATACGTTTTGCCGCACCTGTTACACGCGTATTTCGCCTCGTTGTCCTTCTGATCCTTCGCGCGTTGGCTTCTGTTGGTCTTGTACGGTGTCTCCGTGTAACACAACTGGTTCCACAGCGCGTCGCTGTTGTCGCGCGGCTGGTGAATGTCTTGCGAGAGCAGCATCGTTGCCAGAATCCCTGAAACGAGAGGATTTCACCGTTAGACGTCTGCCTCAGACCCGATTTTCGCTGTTCCTCGTGAAAGGAGGAGGATATTCGGTACATTCTCGCCCTTGAACGGAGGATCGAATCGTTTCCTGAAAATATTAGTACTTTTCTGGGGTGTTATGTATGCAGGCTTGTGCTACGTATCCACTTGAGTCACGTTATCGAGAGCAGCCCTTGATACTTTGGAGTTAGGGTATCAGGCGTGAACTTCTTGTGTGTTGAAAGGCAAACGTGTGATATTAATGGAGTACTACGTGAGCTTCTCTGTGAAATTTGTTTAGATAGACAGCCTTGGGGCTTGTTACACAATAAAGTTTGATAATATTATGAATCGGTACTTCATTGTGCAATAGGCTTCAAAACTTTGTACTTAAATAGAATACTCGAGAAAAATTCACTTGGTAGTTCATTAATATTCGAGTAAATATGTGTAAATACTTTTAACAATAGACACCCATCGAAGATTGGTAGGTGTCAGAGAGGTACTTTCAAAAAACAGGAGTTCCGTTCGTGAACATATAATATTTAAGGATGACAGTCTTTGCTGGATACGTAGCACTGAGAGGAAGGGCACGAGTAAACGGAGGATGAAAGGTAGACGAGCAGAAGAAGAGCATACGGGCAAGCGACAGAATAAAATTGTTATTCAAAGTGACAGTTCTAGCGACAGTATGATATCTTGCACTGATGAAATGCCGTCTGATTCTTTCTCGTCGTGGGTTCAGATAGACGATCGTTTCGTGAATGAAAACCTGTCTTTATTGAAAAATGCAAAAACTGTACAACCGAATCTTCCGAATTCCTTCGGTGAACGCACACGTGTCAATTGTATCGACTTTCTTTAGCCTACACGCCGATCTCATTCTTCGAAAGTAAAACTAGCTTTTTGATACCTGTCCCTGAAGATAGCGACTTCGTCGAAATCAAACCGTCATCGAACAATTCTATACACAAACCTAAATAACACGTCTCTGAACTCAGAAGCTTGTTACTATATAAAACCTCGACTCTCATTCGATGAGACAAGAATATTCTTTTATCATTCTTTGAGATTATCACATTCACTGCAGCTTCCATTGAAGCCCTCGTCGCCGGATTGCACTTGAATTGTTTCTTCAGTCTCCAGGTCGAGTTCGAGACCTGATTGAATCGTCAATTCTCTGACTATTCCCGTTTTCTTCTACACGAGGCTAAATGATGCGTCAGTTTGAACCTATGGGTGAACTTCTTGCCGCAGATCGGGCAGCTCTGTCTGGGCTCCACGCCGCACTCTAGCCTCTGGTGCCTCTTCAGCGAGGTCTCCAGCTGATAGCACTTGCCGCACCTGCCGCATCTGTGTATCAACGGCCTCCTCTTGTATCCCAGGTTGTCGATATTCTTCACCGTGAGCCTCGGCACTGGAAGACAAAGAAGAAACAAAATGGGAGTCAGTAAAATGGCGGGACGCTCGTTCCGAATGCGTGACACGCGAAGCGGGCAGCGGGCGATCGCTATGACGATGTAAAAGAGGACATCGATTGCCAACGCGGTAATGTAATGAGGGAGGAATGGCGGCTGCAAAACTGGGGCCAAAATCACGCAAGTTAGCACGTTCAAAGGACAATCTGTTCGTAGAACTTACGAGCGAATCGTAGTTTTCGCAGAATTTCGCTGTTTCGTATTATGTAACGATGCTGCCGAATGATTCTAGACGTCCATCTTGAGGCTCCTTTGCCTGAAATTACAATTGCGAATTAATACTAAGTGATTCGTCGATGACACTTTTGAGCTCGCATTGACGAGGAAACGTACCGACGATAGTTCTCGAAAAACAGTGTAATACATATTTTTCTAATCGACAATCGTTTAACTAAAAGTGTCGACTACAGCTTACAGCATTGATGACTGAAAATAATTTTGCTTACGTCACCTAGGGAACTAATGGGTCCAGGGAAGAGTTGCTCTTTAATTCTGTGATCGCAGAAAAGAAAAGTAAGAAAGAAAACTGTTCGTTTAAATAATATATTCAAAATCTGAATTTTTTTGGCGATTCTCTTGCTAAGCCTGTTGCTAAGTGTTTTACGTGAACTCCGTTCCATGTGAACTACGAGCAGAAATTGGTTTATCAAATGTCGCGTTTCTAATTACAGAGTAAAACTTCGCGAACAATCTGGCGGGTGACCGTTAACAATTCATTCTTTCCTCGTGTGATCCTTGAACCGTGGATCGCAGCGTTACATTTGAATATGGTGCACGCATTTCACGTGGGACTGCCATCGGTGTTTGTGCTTGAACATCCGGCCGCAAATCGGACACGTGAATGTCGGTTCTTTCCCGCATTCCACCCGGATATGATTCTTCAGGGAACCGCGCCAGAGATATCGTTTGCCGCATTGAAAGCAGATCCACACCTTCTGACAGTTCGCTGGAAAAAGAAGAAGCGTTTCACGATGGTTAGGGACACGGTTGCACACTGTTCGCAGCGTTTTATTGTTCATTGTTCATTCTCGCCAGCTGTCGCACTCATACCTGAGTTCGACATCATCTCGAGGTAATCAGACGCTTATGTTTCTCTTACTTAAATCGTTATCATAGAATCTTTATTAGGTTGCTGGTAGCCTTGCGTTACATTTTTGGAAGCCCTACACGTAGAAAACACGTAACAAAATATCTGCTTTCTACAATTACAATCTGCCCGCTAATTATCTATCGTTCCTCAGTCGCTTCTACTAAAATACCCTTCTGTAAAAATATTTCATAGCTCCCCGGTACTCGATTATGATTTACGTAAACAGTTCTATCAGTCTTTTTTGTCTTCGGTGCGTTTCTGCAGCCCGGACAGGCTGCTTCTATTTTGACACTGGTCGTTTTGGTAGTCTTCTAATCGATACATTAATCTTAACGATCACGTACACTTGGACGATGCAAACGAAAATATTCGTATCCCTTGTACACTACAATACGAAGTAAAATAATACTTTAATAAATATGTACTCGGTCGCTATATGGCACTATCTACGAAAGATCTTTGTAAACCGACGCCGAAAGTTTCAAATATTCTCTTCCGAGTGTACGTAATCCCGCAAATACATTATTATACAACGCTCTTCGACGAATATTGTAGTTACCGGTGCAACAAGGTTGTTGCGCTTTGTATCGAATCGAACGGAAAGTTCTTACAAATAGTAGAACGCATGTTCCACACAGTCAACGTAAAAATATGAAAATATTCGTTTCATCGACTTTTCTATATCAGACAAAGCACAGTAACGACACGATTCATTAAGAAGGAATTATGTATAATCGGGGGAATCGGATTACTGAAACTGCCGCGTGTGCAAGTTCGACGCGAGGTGCGACTGCAGTCTGTGTTTGTACTTGAACTGCCTGCCACAAAGTACGCAGGTAAACGCGGGCGCTTTCCCGCAGAGCCGGAGGTGGGTGTACATCGAGGATTTCCGCGAGTAGACCTTGCCGCAGACCCTGCACGGAAAAATGGTTTCCCTGCCGACGTCACCTGAAACACAAATTATCAGTGGTGCGTGGATACTGAATACAACGGCGTTCTATAACGAACGAATCAGTTCATTTAAATCGTCAAGACACGACGATGAGCGGGGGATTTGACATATTAAATACTTTCAACTAAAAGGTAAGTACATGTTCGCGCAAACTAACGCCGAACTTTCGTTCAACAGAAAAAAGCTCGTGAAATTTCTACGCACACTTGTTAACGGAAATCGTGTTCACCCTCTTCGAGTGTTACTCGTAGTTTTTCGCTCAGTAATCGCGCATGCATGTAACAAAAGCCGCATGACAATTAAGGGCGACCGTCTTCCTCGATTCGATCGTTTCAAACGGAATCGACGACAGATCGCGGCGTTTCAAGTGGGAATGGGATATCGAAAAACTTGTTGAACAACACCAGGTCTGCTAAATTTCGAAGTATTTCTATTGTAATTTATTTGTACTCGTATTCTCATTCGTTGCTTAACTATGTGTGTCTAACAGAGACGCAGAATCACGCGAAGATTCATGGTGAATCTTCCCTTTCCTTTATCGAGCACTTCGATAACTTCGAGTTCGCAACTGTTTCACAGTTTCATCTTGTTCAGAACTCGTCGAATTTAATTTTCGAAAAATAAGTCGCGTGTTTCGTGAGTAATAATTTGCTAACGATCGTTAACAAATGTTAAATTAAGGTACGAAGTCCGAGGCTTTGGTTCACAGCTGAAAATCGAAGGAGGATCACAACATGGCCGCGTCTGCGAAGGGTTGTTGCTGCCTGTCGAATTCCTTCGTCGACTCGTCCATTGACTGCCATTGGTCCATGTAATTGTGAATGGACTTCTGGTGTTTTCTGAGATGATGTTTGTGTTTGAACCGTCTGCCGCAGATCTTGCACGGGAATCGCGGCTCAATTCCGCATTCCATCCTCTTGTGCAGGTTCAAGGATTCCTTCCATTTGTATGTTTTGCCGCAGGTGTTGCACAAATAGCTCGGCCGGTACGTGAACACCGGCAACCCTGAAACCAAAAACGGTATCGTCTTCATTAGCTGCGTAAAGAGACTTGTGCTCGATCGAACGAGCACAGGAGCACCTCTCGATCTCTAATTTTT